TTTTTACTAAAATGACAAAATATCACAAAATTAGAGAATGAAGATATCATCATGAAATGAACAAATCTGAGAGAGGTCTACCCAAGGTACATATACACCAAGTATCAAAGCATTCAGGCTTGTAGTTTCAAGAAGAAGTCGAAAAAGTAAAACATTGACACGGACGACGACGGACGATGACGGACAATCACTCATATGATAAGCTCCGCTCGACAAAGTCGACAGCGGAGCTAAAAAACTGTTTCCTTTGTTATAAATTTGGACACAAACATCTCAAGCAGGCAGAATGTATGAGTATGGTGTAATGAAGACTTGTTAACAGAAAACGAATGTTAGAATATTTTCAAATTATGTCACTTAGTCACGTGACTAAGTGGAACAATATGGCGATTACATGTTACCTGCGTCCTACCTGCCATTTGCAAAGAACTTGCTGTATTTCAGTCCATTTTGCAAAATAGAGGGCGCACTTCTTGAACAAAAATATGACAGCAAGAAAACAAAATCTGTATTATTTGTATTAAGCTTAATAAGAACTTACATGAGCCAAGGGAATTGGAGGCATGAAATATTTAAAATTAAAATCACAAATTTAAGATTAGCCTATTAAATAAGAAGAAAATATGGCAGCAATGAAAAAAAATCACACATTTTTATTAAGCTTAATAAGAACTTACATAAGCCGAGAAAATTGGAGGCATGAAATATTTAAAATTAAAATCACAAATTTAAGATTAGCCTATTACATAAGAAGCCTGTCAGCTAATATAGCCCAGCTTTTTAGGACACACACTGTGAAATCAGTCTGATCCACACACAGTATGGATGCCGATAATACTACGAAAAATCTATAAGAGAAAAAATAATTACAACAAAAAATACTTGTAAATTTGAAATTATTAATTAGTATGCAAATCTTTTCTCATTTTGTTTTAGTACTTTCTTTGCTTTGTGATCATTTCTATTATCATATAATAACACTCACCGCAAGATACAAGGCGCTAAACCAAGCAAGGGAGGAATGTCCGGATAGAAATGACACTTACCGCAAGATACAAGGCGCTAAACCAAGCAAGGGAGGAATGTCCGGATAGAAATGACAATCTAGAAATGAAGAACATAATAACTTAACACACTGTATACTGACAATGAAATAATACATCTGTATTATTTGAGGAGGCTGAATATCAGAAGAGTAGGTTTTAATCAGTTGTGACACGATTGAAGAATGTGGTGACATTGATGACAATGTTAAACAAGTGATCTTGTGGTCAGTAGAGCTCAGCTGTAATTGACAAGTGCAGAGGACAGTTGCAGTTACTAGGTGGATAGGAGAAGTGGAATCTATGACAGTTTAGTAATTGTGACAATTGTCACTGGAAAGGCATATCCCGTAAGAAAAAGCATATTTGTGTATGTAATGCATGGATATGTATAATTGATGATGTGGGTGTACAGGAAATTGAAGCTGAAACATGAAGTTGTTGTCACTATTACAAGAATATATTTTTGTTACTGTACCACATGTACAGACACTGTGACACTGTATAAGACAAAGTGACATTTGACCTTCAGATGACCTTGAAAGATCATGGAAGACGAAGGGGTGACCTGCTGACCTCCTACTGATGAATTTTTAGCACAAACATGTCTCCCTTCCGCCATCTTGAATCAGAGTGTGAATCAAATACCCATACATATGTATCTGAAGATGTGTCACATATGTGTAAAGTTTGAAAGTGATCAGCCCAAATGTGTCTAATATACAGGTGCAGGTGCATCCATACACATACATACATTGTACTAGCAGTGGACAAATAGTTCAAGCAGCGACTGATATTTCTTTGACATACCTTGCTTCGCTGATAATGTGAGGATCACCAGTACACACATCTGCTTCAATGTAACCATCAGAACAGTTAAATAAATCATAGTTTGGAATGCACACCGTTAAAAAATGTGGTCGTAAACGTCCTATGAGCTTCTTAATACAAGCAGTTGCCAACTGTGTTGTAGCAGAACCAAATAAAAACACACCAATGATATAATACAAATAGTATAGTAGAGGATTCACTTTCTTTGTTTTGATGTAATGACATTTGTTGTAGGAGTTTTTTTCTTGTCTTTTTCTTGATAGAACATATAAAAATGATTCATTGAGTATAATCTGGAAAGAAATAATCAAAAAATTATGACAGTTATCAAGAGCAGATTATGGTGGTATTTGTATACTTAAACCATACATAAATGGGTTGTAGAATGACAGGATAGGATATCAGATGACAGGATGGGTGGACAGATTGACAG